TTTTTAAAAAGATTTTAAAACATGTTAGTCATGTTTGTATAATATGATGGATTTGGGATAAAATCAGGAATCTTTTTGAAAATTACTGAGAAAAGCTAGACGGGTAAACACAAAATGAAAGCCATCTAGTAAAAAGTCAAAGAAAATGCTTGGTATAAGATCTGAAGAGGATGATGGAGGAATACAGAAGACAAGTTCATGAAAATAGACTATTCTGCCCAATTGCGTAAAGACTGAATGCCTTAGGAGAATGGAACTCTTGTACCTGATCCTGTATATGAAGACACAGGGTGTAAACAGTCAATTCAATTATTGTTTAATTACACAATGTATGGAGTGATTTGCTTTATCATCAAGGCCTCCAGAATCTTATCTACTTTTTTCTTGATTTTAGTCATTTTATTGCCTTACTCCATATAAGGACGTATTTCTAGATTTTAATTCCCATTTTACCCTATTTTCTTCCCGCAAACAAGAAGTTTAAAAGCTAACATCTATGGAAATACTTTGTATGAGAAAGAGTGCTTGTGTCCACAAAATGTATAATAACTGGTGTATATTTTCTTCAAGAACAAAACACACAGATAATAACCAGTCTCATTATCTTCACTCAAAACGAGCAATAGCAACAACAGCTACATAAATTGGTGTATGTCTTTGGGCAATGATTTTGGCAGTATTTCTTAAGAGCCTTTAAATTGCTTCTTTCTTTCCTTTGATTCTACTTTTGAGAATCTATTGTAAGGACATAATGTACATCCTTTGATATACATCTTCCTATATGTCTACATACAGTGCATAAAGAAAACCTCTTTACACAAAGAGAGGCAGCATGGCCTAGTGGTTAAGGCTATGGCCTCTGGAGGGCCTGGGCTCAAATTCTGACTCCACCACTGACTAAATGCATGATGTTGAGCAAGTAACTTATATTCTGTGCCTCACCTTCCTCATCTATGACATGGAGATAATCTCAGTACCTCATAGGGTCTTCATGAGGATTAAATGAGGCAATAAGCGTAAATCATTTCCTCTAATGAATATAATAAATGTTTGGTGTAACCCTTATTATGTCCATAATGGCATTAATTAAAATAGCAAAAAATGGGAAGAACCCCAATGCTCCACAGTACAAGATTGGTTCATGAACTCTGGTCTATCCACTCGAGGACAAAGTCATTAAATTTCATCACAATGTACACAGTGTCTAGCACAAGAACTAATTCCTACAAGTGTTTAATGCAGTCTGGATTTCATTGTGAAATACACATTGGGTCATATTTTAACATCACGGATATTGGGATGTGTTTTATGGTCAAGGGCATGTCACAGTGTAATGGGTAGTGTGTGATGCATCTTACATTTGATGCAGTCTGTGGCAGGCAGAATAATCCCTCCCAAAGATGTCTATGTCCTAATCACCAAAACCTGTCAACACCACCTTATATGGCAAAACAGATTTGGAGATGTGGTTAAATTAAGGACCTTGAGATGGGGATATTATCCTGGATTATCCATGTGGGCCCAAAGTAATCACAAGAGGCCTTACAAGGAGGAGGCAGGGGGTTCAGAATTAGTGGTAGAAGATGTGATAACAGAGCAGATGTTGGGATGATGAGAAGGCACCAGGAGCCAAGAAATGCAAGTAGCCTCTAGCAGCTGAAAATGGCAAGGAAATGTTTCTCCCCTGAAGCCTCCAGACGGAACCAGCTCTGCTGACACCCTGACTTTAGCCCAGTGAGACTAATTTTGGACTTCTGACCTCCAAAGCTATAAGATAATAAGTGTGTGTTGTTTTAAGCTCCTAGGTTTATAATAATTTGTTACAGCAGCAATAGGAAACTAACACACAGTCAAATTGGGTGGAATAAGGTTCTTTTTTACTTCTAGGCAATGTTAGACCCTCAGTGATTTCTGAATACCACTTGACAGCATAAGAGGCAATCGATATAAAGCTACTGAATGAATGTTCAATAGAATAATATATAGCCATCAAAATGATGTTTACAAAGAGTTCGTAATAAAATAGAAAAATGTTACTTGATTAAAAAAATCAATTTGCATTTCAGTGAAATCACTACTATACTAAATGGGCAAATATCAAATTACGCATATGAAAATTCCAGAAGAAAATAAACTCCAGAAGAAAAAAATAGTAATAGTGATTGTTTCTGCACTATATGTTTCTGCATGTTGGGACTATAAATGACTTTGCTTTTTCTTCCTTTTACATTTCTACAAATTTTCTATAATGAACAGGCAGTGCTTTCATAATGGAAAAAAGCACATCGATTTCATTTTTTAATTTTTCATTAAAAAATAATATGGAACATAAAAAGCAATTTATACAGTACTGATAAACTCAATCTTTTTATGCACCAATCACACTAATTTAATTAGTAATTCACAACTTTCACATTCATAGAGCTGGCATGTCACTAACTGTGCAGTCATTTTGGATCTGTGTTTTGAATTTGCAAACATGAGTCAGCTTTAATAATAGTAAAGTTATGATTATCATCTTCAAAAATCATCCACCAAGCAGCCATTGGGAGCTGCATGAGGACAGCATGGTGTCAGAGAGGTAGTGATTGAAGCAGAAACTGATAACTGACTCAATGGGAAGGAAAAAGGCAGAGGAAAAAAGCTGAGGAAACTGCAGAATGATTCTGCTTCACTTGCGTGTGGAAAGACGAGAGAGTTCTTGCTAGAATATGGCTCTTTGACCTTGGAGAAGTCATTCCACCACTCTGAGCCTCAGTCTCTTCCTTTATGTTATGAGGGTATAAACACATGTGTGTATATACACAAACACCCACCTCCACATTCCCCCCAACACACACAACACACACATACACACACATGCACATATAGACTCTGATTATAAAACAATGAGACCGATTCAAAGAGGCAAATGTCAAAAGAAAAACCTTTCATTATTCTAGTCTCACTCTGTATTCCTACAGGGGTTGCTGTGAACTGGTGTGAACTAGCTTCTTTGCACTGTGCGATCTGCCACTAATACCATCACCATTAGATATTTCACAGTCTCTTCTTGTTCACAATGTCAGAAAATAAACCATAGAGCGTATTAAAAGGTTTAAACACATGAGGGGTTTCAGCAGCGGCCTGTTGCCTGGTGAGCTGCTGAAGCTTTACAGCTTGTCACTTGTTAGCTCTTTGAGGAATGCATTCATGACCTCGGGAAAGTTGTCTACTTTCTTCCATGAAAATCAAGCACATTATCAAAGCTCAACAGCAGCTTGCCAACTAAATGCAGTGCCTTGGAATTTCTCAGTTATTATGATTTTAAATGAGGATGTCATTTCTGAAATACGTCATATGTGAAATTTTAGTGGAAGTCTGAAATGTCCTAGGATATTTATTATCTTTTTTAAAGAAAATATTGATAGAATATCTCTTATTTGAAAGAAGCTTAACTTATTTAATCCAAATCTTAAGGAACTTATAAGTCTGCAGGTGGAATAAATCACGTACATATTTAACTCTAATGCAAAACAGAAAAGAAAATGCCAGAGAAAGGTATGGATGTATTACTATGGATAGAATTTCAGTGGAGAAAGAAAGATTATGACCAGCTGTTCAAACAGAGAGATGGTCCAGGGAAGCTTACGGGGTACACGGCATCAAAGGATCCTAAATTTAAGAATGGAGGTGGAAGTGGAGGGCTTTCTTGGTGGAGGAAACAGAATGAGCAATGTCTTGGTGGCATGGAGAATTTGGGGTGTGTATGGAGAAGAGTAAAGAGTGAAATTTGATGGTAGTGCCAACTCCAGGTTAGGGAGCAATGAGATAAAGCTTGAAATCATAGACAAGATCCAGATTGCCAAGGACTTGAATGAAGACCCAAGGAGACTACTTTATTCTACAGACTGTAGAGAGCCAGGACTGTGAGCAATTACTTAATTGATTTGCATTCACCTCTTTCTATTACAAGGGACAGAGGTGATTTTAACTTTGTAGTTTAAATGGCATTATAATTTCTCACTCAACAAGTGAAAAAATTCTAAGCAATCTTTCCATACATCACCCAATCAATGAATTGGAAAAGATTTAAACTTCACACTTGAAACTTTGAGGGGGAATATTTCTTTTATTGCTCTAGTATTTTTCCGGTGTTGGAAGAGCAGTGGCCCCATTCAGATGTTGGAGTGAAAGCTGCACATACAGGAGGCCCAGGAAACCCAATCATCTGGGGGATAGAATGTGACTTGGTCACATCGAGTTTATCCTGTGGCCCACAGATTCCCAGTTTCAGGCTTTCTGGACACGAGAGCTTGGCTATGGCCCTTTATACACAGCCCCTGGCCCTCCACCTGATTGCTCCTGGGCACTGGCACTTAAATCCACATTCTGTACATGAAAACATAACACCAATGCAGCACGGTGCTCTCTGTGTGTTTCCATGAGTGCGTGTGTGTGTGCATTTATATATAAACATTATATAAATATACACACATTACACAAAATGGTGATGGCACACACCACTACCTTATTGTTGTAATTTGTAGTGAAAGCTATATCTTTCCTAAATAGTTTGTGAGCATTTTGAGAGCAAGCCCACCATATTGTATCATGTATCCAGCCAATATTCAATTAGTATTTATTGATTAATTGATTTAAGCTAAGTCCTTTAGCTTCCAGTACATACTGCATTTCCTTCTAGGATCAGGAGAACAGCTGGTCAACATACTTAGTATAATAGGACAAAAAAGTATGGTTTCTACCTTCCTGTAGGTGTATAAAAGGAAACATAGCTTATTTCCTTAAAAGCTCCTGAGATAAGGTAACTAAACTTACCATATGAAAACAATCTATCAATACGTGTGGGCATGTGTGCGTGTGTGTGCGTGCGTCAACTCAGCCAGCTCGCAACTGCAAAATAGAGAAATCATGTGCTAAATATTAAACACAGGCGGTGTTAGCAAATGGATACAGTTCATCAGAGAGCATGGTTTTTATGTGTTACACTTGACACTTACCTCAATAAAGAAGATGCTGGCTGCTGATGTTGGATGGTGATACATATAGACTGTCACAAGAATGGCTGCTGCTATAATGAGGACCAGGATGAGAATTCCAACAATGAGACCAGCATGAAGGGTTCCCCCTTTCTTCTCGGCTGCACTGTCATCTGTAGAAGCTGAAAGAACAGCACAGCTGTCAGGACATACATGTGTGCACACTTAAGTTTGCATTTTCATTAGATGGGATATTTATATTTTTAATAAAGTACTGTTGGATCTTCTTTACGTCCTGTGCAACTTTTCTTTTCCATAGCACCAATTTTAGAAGTTAGGTGCTCTTGATTTGGGCAATAAAAAATCCATACTATTAATGATTAAAAATACATTTATAATTGTGTTTTAATTTATAGTTCAATAAACAAAATTAAGAGCCTTTATTTTAAAAGTACTGTGGAAAATCTAAAACTCTAATTAACTATATAATAAATTTAACTGTGATTTTTCTCATTAAACCACTGGCACTGTTACCTAAGGAAAAATTGATTACTTTTTGAAAGCTCCTCTCTCACTTTCTTTTGGAAATTTTAAATTGAAGAGTATCAGACATCTTTTGGTGGGCTACACAGGCATTTTAGAAAGTCTGTGCAGGAGTTCAAAGAATAATTTTCAAAATCTGTTTTAAACTGAAATGCTCTTTAAAAGTTTAACAGATGGATGCTAAATGACCCTCAAATAGTTTTATCACTGTCTAAAGGGAACACACATCATATGAAAATATTCCAGTATGCCACAGACCAATATCATTTTCTCTAACTTTTACTGAGATGTTTTCCATTGTAATACCCATTTTCATTGATGTAGGAAATGGAGGAATTAAATTACTAAAGTAATACCTATTTCAACCCAAAGTCAATCAACCAAATAAAACTAATCTCTAAAATCTTCTCTTGTTCTAAAATTCTGTAATCTTTGATGACTACTTGGGCATTTAGAGGAGATCTTAAATTACGTGCAGCAGGTAACTGTATCTTAGTGCATAATACGATTAGTATTTTTGAATCATTAGAAAATTCTTTAACTCATAGCAATTCTAGAACAGTGATTCCTAATCCTTTCATTACCAATTTACGTCTTTGTTATTTTCACCCTTTGCCTCTATGATTTAAACATTTTTTTGTCTATTAAACCTCATTTAATAAGTACTGATTTATTTCTTCTATTTTAAATTTTCGTTATAAAAAACAAACATTACTGCCTATCAGAATGTGTGGTCAATACTAATAACAGAATTCCAGATAAAGCAAAGAAACATGACCTCCTAATTCTTCCCACCCACCCTTTAAATGTTGTTGCTATTGTTTGTTTACTCTTTATTTGAGACCCATAGCTGGTATTCAGTAATCCTGCTCCAAATCTAGTAAAGCACAAAATCCTAAAGCTTTCCCTTACATAAGAGAAATTCATTAGTGAAAGACTATAAAATTTAAAAACAGTAATTCATTATATAAAAAATCATTTACAGAGAGGATTCCGGGACGATGGCAGAGAAGGAAGTATCAGGAATCTGTCTCCCCACCTAGACAACAATTGCACTGGCAGAATCTTTCTAATGTAACTGGTTTGGAACTCTGGAGTTTATTGAAGGCTTGCTACTTCCAGGAGAAGCCTTGGTCTGTAAATTGTGGATAATTTCAGCTCTTAACACAGTAGCTACCCATCCTACACCCCTCAGTCCTATGTCAGGCAGCTATGCACATGTTTCTGAAGCAGTTTGCAGGAGCCATGGTAGGCAAAAAGCACCGGGTTCTCCAAATATTGGGGATCTATGTTCCGATCACTGATTGGTGCTTCTCATCACAGAGCTGCAGAGAAAGAGGCAGGCAGCCATTGCTGTTTCACCTCCCCTTATTTTTGCAAGCCCCTCTCCCTTTGGCTCAAGTGACTGCCAAGGGATTTAAAGGTCCAGAACTCTTCTTATCCCTCCCTTCTTCATTTTTCTCTTTTTCGCCTTTTAGGAGCCAAATATCAAAGAGTAGGATATTCAAAAATGACAGCATATAGGAGGAAAATTAGAAAGTGACAGCGCATGCCCAGGGAAAGGCTCAGAAAAGACTTAAGAAGACCTTAAATTTAAAGTTCAGGCTGAACCTCAGTACAGAGACAGCCTGCAACAATCAAAAACACAAAAACAATAAGCAAAAACAGTAAGCCCTGGCATAGCAGAAGATTCTGATTTCTAGAGTTACTACGTTATCAGATTCAAATGTCCACTTTTGAAGAAAAATTCAGAAGGCAGAATGGTATGGACCATTCAAAGGAAAAAAAAAAAAACAACAGAAACTACCCCTGAAAAAGACCTGACAGCATATATCCCAGACAAAGACTTTAAAACAGCTCTCTTAAAGATGCTTAAAGAACTAAAGGAAGATGTGGAGAAAGTCAAGAAAACAATGTGTGACAAAATGAAAATATAAATAAAGAGATACAAAACCTAAAAAGAAACAAGAAAGAAATTCTGGAGAACGAAGTCAAGATGGCGGCGTAGGCAGACTCGGAACTCACCTCCTCC